CTGCTCACAGTCTGCTCACACTCCTCTCTGCTCACAGTCTGCTCACAGTCTGCTCACACTCTGCTCACAGTCTGCTCACACTCCGCTCTGCTCACACTCCTCTCTGCTCACACTCTGCTCACACTCCTCTCTGCTCACACCCTGCTCGCTGCTGGCCGAGCTCTCAGCCAATGAGAAAGCGCCTACGAAAGGCGCCAGCGCCTCTGGAACAGCACCCACGTACACAGGGCGTCTGTAACAGCCAGGGGCACACTCGTGCACCCACAGGCACAGGCACACACGCACACGTGTACCCTCAGGAGCATCCACGTGCACACGCACGCATCCACACGAACGTTCGCAGGCGCGTACACAGACTTAGCAGCAGTTCCCCTGGGGAGAGGTGTGTGGGACACGGGCTCTGAGGAGAGGCCCAACCTGCGCCCACGCTTACTCACTAAAGCCGCGTGAAGCTCTCGGGGCTGCTTCTCCCGAGGAAAGGGTTGTAACCCACACCTGTCCTAAGGTGTGGGGGAAGGAAGAGGCCCCGAGCAATCGCCATCGCCATAGAAACCGCTGCGGTGACAGTCACGATGACACAGCTCTGCCGTTTCCTCCTGCACAGTCAGTCAGCCAGAGCCTGTCACCAGCCGGGAGCGATGTCCGGGAGTTGTTCCCCGATACCCTAACACCTGCTCTCCCCGGTCACACCGTTGCTGACACAGAGCCCATTAGGGGACCTGGGAAGTGGTGGGCTGGAAGGAGGCGGCCGCAGAGTCCCTCCTGTTGTGCTACAGGCCTGTCTCTCATGTCAGCAGCGTCTGCATCCACGGGAGAAGGGATCGGGCGCTGGCGCTCTCGAGCTCACCCTTGCACAGTGCCAGGCCCGAAGCTCAACACTGATGCTTCCCTTCAGATCCCAGAAGCTTCTGCCCGGCTCAGGAGCCCATGCCACGGACGTCAGCAGCCGGGAGCCATGCTCCTGTTTGGGATCCTTCTCCAGGGACAAGGGAGAAGCCGAAGCAGGACACGGAGCTGAGCCATCAATGTTGAGCCTGACCGAAAGTTTGCTCCTGTGGTTGGTTGTCTTACAGCTGTCGGCAAATAGCAGGCAGGGCACGGCTGCTTCCTGCCGCCTGCCTCCAGGCTGGCACTGCCTGCACAGCCGGCCTAGTCTAGCTGTGGGATAAATGATAACAAGAATGGACTTCCCATTCAAGCCTGCCCATCTGAAGGGACACAGGAAGGTTTGTAATATAGGCTGAAAATATTAGGCCACAAATTATTAAGGGAATAAGCAAGATAAAGTACTGTGTATTTAATAATGGTCCATGCTTTTATGTAGAAAAACACACACGTGGACATGCATGCATGGGCCCCAGGATCAGGGAAGAGACACAAGAAAGCTTAATGGTCCCCAGGCTCTGCCAACATGGGCCATAAACCAATGCAACACGCAGCATGAAAATCTGTTTAGTGTGTGTGTGTGTGTGGGGGGGGGGTATTTGTAATAACCCTCTTTATATTCCCAGCTTTCTTCACCTAAATGTGGATTATTTGTGTCATTTTTAAATGTAAAAGGCTGGGCCCCAGGATAGGCCCAGCAGTGCCTACACTGTTTTGAAGAGGAAAAAACCAGGGAGGCAAAAAGCAGGGGCAGGAGAGAGGAACTGTGTGCACGCACACAGCACAGCGTCGGCCAGCCCCAGGCTTTCACACTGGTGCGTCCGTGATGCCTCAAGGAGCCTGAGGCACAGGCAGCCCCTCAGCCCCACTAAGGTGAAGCTGCATCTCCACACTCCTGACAGCTTGGACCCTGCAGCAACCTGGCTTGAGATCTGAGGGTCCCTCTGAGGCTCCCAAACCAAAGCTCCAGGAAATGAGCCCAGGATCCCAAGTACAGGCAAGCACTTTACAAGTGAGCCCCAGCCTGGGCTCTGTTTGCTTGTTTCACTGTGAAGGCCGGGCTGGCCTCCAGGTGACAGCAATCTCTCTATATGAGCCTTCCAGGTGCCACCCATCCAGTGTGGTTTCTTCTAAATAAGTGAAGCATAGACCTCTCCAGCACTGTTGAAGGAAAAAAAAAAAAAAACTTTTCACACACACCACACACACACACACACACACACACACACACACGAAGGAGGTTGTGGTGGTTTGAGTGGGAATGGCCCTCATAGGCTGAGTCTTCAGCTAGTGGCACTACTTGAGAGGGACTAGGAGACCTGGCCTTGTTGGAGGAAGTGAGTCACTGGGGGTGGGCTTTGGGATTTCAAAAGTCCAAGCCAGGCCCAGTATCTCACTCTTCCTGCTGCCTTCAGATCCAGGAACTCTCGGCTACCAGGTCTGCCTGTGCGCCGCCCGCTTTGATGAAAACGGACTAAACCTTTATAAAAGCTGTCATGGTCATGGTGTGTCTTCACAGCAATAGAACACTGACTAAGACGGGGATATAACCAAAATAGTGAATAGTGGTGCCAAAGTCACGGAGGATTATCCCTTACTGTTTGTATAGTTTTTAAAAATCTGAGTTCCCGCTGTTCATGTTACTCGTAAGTTCTGGAAGCATACATTATAGGAAGAGTTGCTGTCAGCTGGTCCTTTCATAGAAACGTGGGGGGAATGGGGTGTCTCTCTGGCTCACCCCAGAAGGCTCCAGAGAGGACTCCCCTTGTGGCTGCATCACGAAGCTCTGTCCATTATTTTCATCACTGTGATCAAGTACCTGACAAAAGGCAACCTATAGGAAGGATTTGTGTGGTGAGAAATTTGTAATTTTGTAAATTTGTAAAAGCACAGAGATCTGAGTAGATCCACCATATGATGGTGTTGATCCACCATGAGGTTGGTATTCTTCACTTCTCAGTGGACCAGGAAAGGGGAAGCCTGAAGAGCAGGCTTTCTCCTGTTTCTCCCTATTCAGTCCGAGACGCACAGCCCATGGATGACGCTAAGTCCAGCTGAGTTGGCTATGAAGGAGAATCCCTTTGCCTGCTTCTCATCCCCACTTCTGTGGCTCCACCTCCTCCTTTCCTTAGTGAAGACTGACATCCCTGCCTTCACCTCTTCCCGAGGATCAGAAATGACAAGTCACAAAAGTGGTAAATAGTGATGGTGGCCGTGGTGCTTCCGGTGTAATAATGTAGCCGGAGACCCCAGGCCCAGGCTGAAAAACTAGCTGGTTTACTCTGCACCCACATCCCTGGATGAAGTGGACTTTTGTCCTTTTCCATCTGGAGCTGTCAGTGGTGAGATAACAGCACGGACTGAAGCAGCAACCAGGAAAGCATCTTCAGTCCCAAGACACAGCTGGAAAGTGCGGCAGGTCCCCTCGGGTGCCTATAGATTACAGCCATCCAGCCAACGGTCCAGAGTGTCCGACAGCTGGCAGTTCTTGGACCAGATGGGCCTGCAGAGGGAAGGCCAGAGAGTGAGCAGCAGCAGTTCCTCAGAGTCAGGGCCTGGGGGCCCAGGGCCACCCGCCCACACCCGCCCATACCCGGGACACCTGAGCCTCTCCGGTGTGCACACATTCCTTCAGACTTCTGTGCTTCTTGGTACTCACCCCAGTATGGTGTGCCCTCCGTGATGTGCCTACATTGTCCCTGCCTCACACAGGAACTGGGGCACCCTAGCCCTGTGATGTGTTAGTGACTCACAGTTCTCTGACTCACCCAGGGCACCAAGGAGGCACCTTGGTTGTGGGCTCTTTCCACCTGTCTGTGTACCTCCTTCATTCTGTAGCATCCCTTCTCCCTCTTCACTCTTCCTGGGGCATCTGGACTGAACCTCTAACCTCTTCTCCTGACGTCCCTGAGACGTCCAGTCCCTAATGACATCTGGGGTCCTGCTCTACAGCCTAAGAGGAATCCAGATTGGGGATCCATAGTAGACAATGGTCCCCTTGTCTCTTATAGCTCTGGAGCAGCAGAAAATATACACACCCTCATTCCCAGAATCCTGAGGCTCTTCATAGCCCAGGGGCGCCTCCGCCCCTGGAAGGGGCTCCCCAGCACAGCAGAGTGACTCCGCCTGAGCTGTGAAGGACACATGGCTGCCTGTAGCTTACTCAGAGCCCGCCTTCCCAGGAATCTGGACCATAAGGCCCCTCGGCCAGAATGGACCAGCATACTGCTCCGTAATTGCGCACAACAAAACGACTTAGCTCATTAGTGCTTATCCCAGACACTCAGCCGAGCTCATCAATTAATCAGAAAGTCCAGACCATGTATCTGAGGAGCCTCAAGCTCCCAGGAGGCAGTTACCATTAACAAGGAGACTTCCACCATCATGCGAGGTCTGCTCTGTTCGCAGCGCAGCAGCTGCGGTACTGGATCCGTGGGAGTCGACAACGAGCTGACTCAGCAGAACCAGAGGCCCTCAGCACCCACCTCACTTTTCATACTCAGATCGATTACAGAGGAATCCAAAGTTTAGGTATAAAAGGATAACATCATAAAAATTTATTTTTTTAATTTAGCAAAAGTATCTAGGGCTTACTTGGTGTCGGCAGTGCTCTGGTACCGAGGTGAAATGGACGGGGTTCTCTGAAGCCGCCAGCATAAAAAAACACCTTTAATTTGGGTGCCCTTGTGTGCACTCTAGTGTTCAGGTGTGCGTGGTGTGTGTGGATGTGAGCGCGCGTGCCTGTATGTGTGCACGCACTTGGACGCCAGAGGATGCGATCGGTGGTTGTGTCAGGCACGATCCACCTCGGTTTTGAAGACAGGGTCTCCTGCTGGTCTGGGGCTGGCTGCCCTGAGTCCCAGGGACCGCTCAGCACTGGGATTACAGCTGCTTGCCACCAGACTTAACCTTTCAAAACATGGGTTTGGGCGTTCAAACCTGGGTCCTCGTGCTCTCCAGGAGAGCACTTTATCAACTGAGCCGAATCCCAGCTCTTGAAGACATTTTAAGAAGCCCGGGGCGGGGGGGGGGCTCACACAGACCCAGAAACCACAGGGAAAAGATAAAGTTTGATTCTAAGAAACTGTTAGGTCTCATCTAGGACAAAAATACCATAAAGTCAAAGCACAAATGACAACCTAAGAAAGCAGCCTGCACAGATGTTATTTGAAAAGACTAAACAGCTGGTTTGTAAAGGATGCATTAGAAATAAGTAAGAAGGGGCTGGAGAGACACTTCAGTAGTTAAGTGTGCCCTGGACTAGAGTTCAGTTCCCAGCAACCACAAGGAGGCTCACAACTGCCTGTGCCTCCAGTTCCGGGGAATGCAATGCCCTCTTCCAACCCCTGCAGGACCTGCACACGTGTGCGAGCATGTGCGCGCGTGCACACACTTAAGTATTTCTTAAAGTAATCAGCAGGGATAAAGGGAAATACACAATGGTGGATAACCTTGGGTGTCAGACTGACTGGCTTTGGAATCGTCTGTGGGACATGTCTAGAGGTGTCTGTGAAGAGCTTTCCAGGAAGTTTACTGACAGGTGGTGAGTCCTGCCTTGAAGCCAGGCGGTAGCATCCCACAGATGGGAGAACAGAACTGAAAATCGGAGAGGGGAGAGCCGGCTGAGTACCTGCACTCCTCCCCGCTCATCTGCAAAGACAGGCAAGCAGCTGCCCCACCCCCGTGGATGGAGTCCTCAGACATGAGGTAAAGAAACCCCCCCTCAGCTACTTCCTGTCAGTGATCCGACTGCAGGCAATAAGCTGAATAAGCCCCCATGAGCACGTGAAAAGACACTCACTTTTTCTGTAGCTTAAAAACACAAAGTGAAAAACAACAGTCTTACACTCTGCTGTTTCACGAGACTGTACAAGAATCCGCGGTTTCTGGGCTGCAGGGCCAGCACCCTGGCGGGGTGACGTGGTTCCCGAATGGCAGCTCAGCATGTCTCACCATCTTGTATTCACTCCCTCTTGTTTTGCTTTATTTTTGAAGTAGGGTCTAAGGTAGCCCAGGCTGACCTCAGATGCACCGTGAGGCTGAGGCTGGGCTTCATTCATGATGCGATTGCCTCCGCCTCTTGAAAGTCGGGATTCTAAGCATGCACTAAGCCCACTTTCTCTCCAGCTTTTAAACACACCAGATAGTCCAAAAGGTTCCTTGTATGAGATCTCCAGCGCAGACACTTAGGCATGCAACTTCTAAAAAGTTGGGTGTTTGAGGCAGAATTCTTTGAAACAGCAACCATGGCCAGATAGATACATAAATTAAAATGTAAAATATAATGGATAATGTGGAAGTTTTCAATGGCCACCATCTGAATTAAAACGTTCCCATTCTCAGAGAGAGAGGCTTCTTACCAACAACTCACAAGTCTCAGAAAGCCCCTGAAACTTACAAGACTCTCCATTTTCAAAGTTATAGAAGCCACGAACAGTGTCTTGGGGAGGAGATTTCAACCTATCCATCTACCTACAAGGCACACACCACTCCAGGTTTACAGCTTTCCTAAGTCCACAAAGAGGTTGGGGTGGGCTTCTTGGTGATGCAGTGTCTCTGAACTGTCCATGTGCCTGTAAGTAATGCTAAGAAAGCCTTTGGTTTGCCAAGTTGTCCTTTGACAGAATTGTTACTTTGATCTCTTGGGGTGAGCACAAACAGACTTTTTTTTAAACCAACAATGAGAAGGTCTGACCTCGTGGCGGGGTGAGTAGAAAATGGCCCAGCAGTGAAGACCACTGGCTGTTCTTTCACAGGATCTGAGTTCAGTTCCTAGAACCCACTCAGTGGTTCATAACCAGAACATCAATACCAGGGAATCTGATCCCTTCTTCTGATCTCTGTGAGCACAAGGCACACATGTGGGACACATATATATATGCAGGCAAAACATTCACACACAAAATAAAATAAACAAATCTAAAAGATAAAGGTGCTGACCCCAGGGAATGGCTAAGTCGTTAAAGAACTGCAACCATGGGAGCCCTCAGAACCAAGGGTCAAGGCAATCGCAGTGGCCAATCCCAGAAACGGGGAGCAGACACAACAGGGATCCCTGGAGCTCTCTGGCCAGTGAATCCAACTGAGTCATCGGGCTTCAGGTTCCGTGAGAAACCTTGTCTCACAAAAAGGAGGTGAAGAGCGTTGAGGAAGACAGCTTACATCAATATCTAGTCTTCACACCACACACACACACACACACACACACACACACACACACACACAGGCACGAGAGAGAGAGAGAGAGAGAGAGAGAGAGAGAGACAGACAGACAGACAGACAGACAGGAAAGTGAAGCTGAGACCCACCCTTCACCTCTCCTTACTCCTTGCCTGTGACTAGCATGTGGCCGGCCACCTCACACACTCCCGCCACGACTGTCCCCACAGGATGTGTGGGCGTCTCTCAGGGGTCCGCTCACAGCCTTGCTCGGCCTCCAGCACGAGCCGCAGAGGGCGCGCCACTTACCATGCTCCCATCCCTTTTTTTCCTTTCACGATTTTCTTGGCACACGCGATCGTATCCTTTAAGTTTGGATTCAGCAGAGCTGCAAAGGAGGTGAGATGGGTGGCTGCTGCGCCATCCAGTGAGTCTCCACTGCCCCGCCTCACTTCCCACCGCTCACCCTCACGGAGGCTGAAGCCCCTGAACCACTCCTCACCCACCAGGAGAGAGGGAAGCGCTGTCTTCAGCGAGGCCCAAGGCTGCCGGGACTAACAGCCCCTGTGCTGCAGACAGCTTGGCTGTCAGGGACACCTTGCCTGGCCCCTCAGTCAGCCTCACTGAGGAGCCGTTTTGCCTGCCTCTTGCTCTGCTCACTGGTCAGGCAGCCTTGGGCATGGGTTCTAATCTTCCCGCTTTCAGGATGGGGTAGAAACAGCACCACTCTTGAGAGGCCACTGAAGGCGTCCCATGAACTGACACCTTCGAAGGGCTTGGGGAAGCTCTTGGCAAGGCTCCCTGAACCTCACAGGACACAGGAGCGGATCCTGGCCAGCTGCCTCCCCACAGACAGAGGTCCTTAGGTCTCTTTCTGAGGGGCAGATGTGTCCCTTTTGGGCTGTTCCTGTCTCCTCCCTACAACTGCTTCTGACTCTCACGGTGACAGCGTGGGAGAGATCTAATGGCGAGGCCTGGGTGACACAGGACCCCAGAGAGCAACCTTTCCCACCCTCTGCTGCTTGCCCCTGCTCCCAACATTCCAGACCGGCCAGCACCTTCGGGGCTTTTTGTCTTGGTCTTTATCTTTTTTCCTTCTCGCCATCTCTCACCATCCCTGTCAGGGCAGCATTCCGCCTCCCAGGAAGAGCTTAGAGGCCACCCAGGCCAGCACCCGCCCCTGTCCCCTCCGCAGCCTCCTGCGCCCAGGGGACTGGAGAGAAAAGGACCCACCAGAGCAGGACACAGCACAGAGGTTCTTGCCGTGGTCACACCATTCACTGTTGCGGATCTGGAAGAGGCCGAAGCCGGTGTAGCCACCTTGTGTGTTCTCGTAGACCGCTGAGGGGTTGAACTTGCTCTCAAAATAAGCCAGGCACACCCCTAAGAGGTGGAGAGCATGTGGTGTGAGGAGACGCTGGGCGGGAGGGATGGCCGGGGGGGGGGGGGAGGCCAAGGAGGGGAGTGGGGCCTGAAGCGTCCTACTCACAGTTTTCAAGGCTGTAGCCCTCAAAATAATCCAGGCCCCCATCATGGAGCCGCTTAGCCACCACACAGCGCCCCAAGATGGAGGCCCCAATAGGAGTGAGCAAGCAGCTGATGAGGAGGAGCACCAGGTACAGCTGCATCTTCTCCAGGCTCCGGTGCCTCAGCACTGTGGGTGCCGGCTGAGCGGACAGTGTCAGGCAGCTCCTGCCAAGGCCACAGGGACACTGGGCTTCCTGGGGAAAGAGAGGCACTGGGGAAGGGGGGATTCGGGTGTCCAGAATAAAACACCATCACCTCCCTGCGGGCGATGAAGCGAACCCCACCTTGGTTCTCTGCAAACACGGTGCCTGGGCCCGCCTCCCCCAGACCTCCCATCTGCCTAGGAAACTACAGTCCCAGAGTCCTCTGCCTCCCAGGAAGACAGTGGTTTCTTGAACTACGGCTGTCATTTTGTCCCATCAGTGGATATGAACGCAAATGTCCTTGCCTCTCCCTATATTCAAGAGTCTATTGTGTAAGCAAACTTCCTGTGCACATTTGGGAAAGAGAGGGGGAGAGGAGGAGGAGAGGCAGAAGGGTGGAAAAAAGGGAAGAGATGAAAGGAAAGAGGAAGAAGAGGAGGAAGAGGAAAAGGAGAAAAGAAGGGTGATGAGAAATGAGAATGAGAAAGAGGAGCAGGTGGAGGAGGGAGGAGGAAGAGGAGGAAGGAAGGAGATGGGAGGAGGGAGAAGTAAAGAAGGAGAGGAA